TGCGCCACATAAATCATTCGATTTGTGTGAGGGCTAGGATAAGGCCGTGGTGTCCAAACCGAAGCAGGTGGTTTACTTAAGGGGCTACACCCCGACCCTTTGACATGAAGGTCTAGACCACAAGGTAGTGGAGCAACGTCAGGAGATGTAGTCTCATGGTAGCCGGTGACCAACAATAGGTTCATACGACATTTGTTCCTTCAGGATCCTGGAGCCCATGTGTATAAATGGTTTGGTATCAAGGATTTCAAACTCTCCTAGGCGAATCCTCCAAATCCACCAACCCGGTTAAAGTGCCAGACATTCGCTTTTTATCATCTCGATTTCGTAAACAATATCCTTACCGCAAGAAGTCAGTCAGTAAGACTTCCCTGGCAGTGGTTGTATGAACATAGCCATGGGAGAACATTTCGAGATAAAGAGTTGACTCTCTTCACTCTCGGCCGTATCAAGGCAGTAGAAAATACCTAATTTTATACAGTTAAAAGCAATCACAATCAGTTAATTCTGTGTAGAAATCAATCGGAAGAAGGAACATCATATTTTCTAGTCAATAGACTAAGTGCTTGTTTGTACATATTCACTAGTTAATTTGTTTAATCTGGTTAGCTTTTTTTTCTACTGGATGGGGTTGCTGATCCCATGCCTAACCCTCCTTCTTTACTCAATCTTGGAACTAGGAGTAACTCTAGAAAAGCTACAAGTGGAGTAGCACACTCAATGATCAATCATATTTTACACTCACTACTACACATCAATAACTCACCAAGAAGAAATTTATGTACACCTATTTGATCTATATATATATATATATATATATATATATATATATATATATATATATATATATATATATATATATATATATATATATATATATATATATATAAACTATCCCATACTGATTCCTAGTTTTAAAATTTAATAATCTCTGCTATTGCTTTTTATGCTGAATGATACATATTGTGCAATATACTAGCGTTCGTGTAATAATTGACTAACGTTTCACTATCCACTATTATATGAATTGTCATCTAAGATAATAGTTGTAGTTCTGATCAAACGCTCGTAATGATCATTGAATTATCAATACATAATCATGGGTAATCATTTTCCGCAGTAAAGATACAACGACAAATCTCAGTAAAATTAGCCGTGACAAGTGAAGTTTAACTTTGTCGGGTATGAGATAGGTACTCAGCTAAGATATTAGAGGATCATTGCTTAATATCACTAGTTATTTGAAGTCAGAAATTTACACCTTTAGTGGTTGGGCTCAATACCGAAGGACCTGAGGTAGATTCTCCGCGTCAAGATCATGGATGGGTATTGCCGAAGAGTCCCACACTAGGACTAAAAACATAGCTGTCCAGTGCTTCCAGGTTTACAGTGGTTGTTTAATGGAAACCGTATTTTTTTTTATAAAATCATTTTTCAATGATTAAGATCGTGAGTCAGTTGAAGCTAGACCACCATGGAAAACCTGAAAGCACTGGACGGCCGTTTCGTCCTATCATGGGACTCCTCAGCAGTGAGCATCCAGGACCTCGCCCCCTACGAGATTCGAACCCAGGACCTACTGGTTTCGCGCGCGAGCACTTAACCAGTAGACCGCTGAGCTAGCCGGCATCCAACGGTGTTAATGTCTAACTTCAACCAATCCACGAAATTCAGCGACATATCCACCATTGTCTTCAGTGAGTTACTATCCCACAACAGACCAGGTTGAACTCCAGTGGTCACTACTTCTCACTAGAACTCCAGGATATACCTCTTGAAGGCAGTCACTAGTGAGCATTTGTTGATTATTGTCAGAAGGGGTTTTGTGGAGATTGTAGTAATTTCAATGATTAAGATCATGAGTCAGTTGAAGCTAGACTCATGATCTTAATCATTGAAATTACTACAATCTCCACAAAACCCCTTCTGACAAAAATCATTTTTACCAATGTATTTGAATTTATGCCAACCAAAACAATACGTGTATAATTTACTAGACATCATGAACTTGAGGTTTATTGCTTATAATGCAAAAATTAACAATGAATTATTCATCAAATAAACATAAAAAACCACTTAATGAAATTTTATCAATTAATGTACATAAAACATGAAAAGTTAGTCTAAATAAGGTTATATAGTATAGGATAAAGGCAATAATCATATTTGTTTTCGTAGTTTCCGGTTATCAATTAAACAACCCCTTTTAGTGTATGTATTATAAACAGATTACCTGAATAGTATCAACTAGTCACCTTTAGAGCCGAAAGTAACGGGTTCGTTGCTTTGCAAGAAATCGAACACTAAGATACCAGTATATCCAGCTGAGTCCAAAATAGGAAGAGTGCATCCTGGAACTAACCACCAACCATCATGCAACTTCAATGAATGCAACAGTTGTGTATGCTAATCGACCAGTTGTTTATAAATAATGTCATCTAATTCAGATCCGGAGGCTAAGAAGACTTTCTAATTGCAAGTTGCAATATGTTTACAATTTTGAATGTTAGTACGAGAGAAAACGTATTTGGTAAAGTCAGATACAATTACATATAGTATAAAATCTAGGTTTTGTGATTGCAGGTACTTATTAGTGAAGTGCAGGTCTGTTAATGAGGTATTTAATATTTCATCAAATACCTACACTTGTACTGCACGGTGTCACTATCCAGAATGTTGGCATTCAGTTCTTGGATTCGTAATCAACAACTTATGGGGGTGGGAACGATGATATTCACGTTTATTGAACAGTTCAGATGCCATGAAATCACTGTGACACTGCAAGTAACTGAGTGATAATATATTGAGTGATGTAAATTCATGTCTCTATGAAATTAAAAAATTTGCCCGGAGGATTCAGATGTATCTTATCAAGTGGTAATAAACTTGGGATGCAATTCCAAAACCTTCCTGCTTATGTTCATTTAAGTGAAAAATTATCCAATCTCTGAACTCTGAAATTCGATCTTGAACATCTCATCAGACAACGTATATTTATAGATACTGACGTCATAATAAATAAGATTCCTCACGGTGATGTTCATATCAAACTTGGTTCGGATCACTATGCCTTCAAACAGATATATACCACACAGTTCAGTGGTTGTAACCTTTTATTTATTCAAGGGATATACGAATCAGGATTGCAACATCACCAAAGTCAAACCAGATCGCAAGCGTACATGGTAAATCTGAGCAAGGTATTGTGAATTTATAGATTACTCGTCTAGCCAAGATTACCAAGCATTCGCTCCTATCTGAATCAGATCGGACACCAGTACGATTGCATAGTTGAAGTTATCTGTGTAACTTGTATATTAATCTTTGATTCAGCAAATCGAAAAGCTGTTTCGTAAAAAGTTACACAGTTTATTAAACTGAATAACGCACTTCATGAATCTAAGTGTTTATGTTATCTGATTAAATTTTCAGACAACACTTAGTAAGATAGACATCTTTTCACACGATCTGAATAGCATTTCCGATATGTGAAGCCTCTTATATGATCAGATGGCATTTGGACAAAGTAATTTCCAACATATGGTTCATAGAGCACCCTAGGAGGTATCCAAAAATTGTTAGCATTAGCTGCAATATGAAAAACAATTAATTCAGAGAATGAAAGTTGAGTAGAAAAAAATGATAGATGACGAATGAGATAAACTGACTAGTCACAAGGTAGAGGTATATTTTTTTGAGATCATGTGGGGAGTGTGAAGAAAAATAAACGAAGATTATGGAAAATAAAAACAAACAGAATCTTTTATCAAGGTGAACTCGACCAAGAAAGAGATAAAGGTGTTACAAATTTTTTATTGATACAAAGACTTTGGTTGATGGCTCGAATCCCTATAGCTTCCGATAAAAGCAAGGGGAGAGACCGGACTACATCAGGAAAGCTAATAGGAATATGATCAATCACTTTAAATGATATGGCCGCTACCGATCAAGTGTGATAAAACAAAGCTGCGTATTGCTTTGACGATACCCTTTCCTAACCACAAAGGTAAGTATTTACTAACTCGTTGGCTTTGTTGTCTGATTATGCGTTCGATATAGCTTTCTCCAGAGGACCAGCTGAAGTCATAAATAAGCTCGGATGTCAAAAGTAGGTAAATTATCATTTAGTTAAAGAATCATCATCGGTCGGCTGGACAGACAGAGGCTAGTTGCATTAATTCAGCTATATTTGAGTAAAGCCTGATGGGGATCTAATTGAAATTTATTTATTTATTTTAACACATAGATATCGGCACAAGGAGGCACCGAATACATATGCGCCAAACAGATCTTATTGGATATGTGTGTCGGCTGTGATACTCTCCGAGTGCCCAGACCGAAGCAGGTGGTTTTCTTAGGGGGCCACATCCGGAGCCTTTGACCTAAAGGTCTGACCCACAAGGCAGTGGAGCATCTCAAGAAGATGCAGTCCCATGGTAGAAGGTGACCAACGATTGGTTCATACGCCATTTGTTCCTTCAGGATACTGGAGCCCATGTGCACCATTGGTTTGGGATCCGGTTAAAGCGCCGGACATTCGCTTTTCATCCTCTCATTTTCGTAAACAACACCCCGGCCACGTGAAGGCAGTGAGTAGGACTTCCCTGGCAGAGGCTGTATACGCGTGGCCATGTGAGAGCATTTCGAGAGGGAGAGCGGACTCTCCCCACTCTCGGCCGTATGTTGTTCTAATTCACAACATAGGAGTTATTAAAATTAACTGTCCATATTCGTATTATTCCAGGCAAAACGGAACTTAGTTATAATTGTTAAGTAAACTTTTCGGATGTTTCAAGTATTTAACATGATTTTTTCAACATACGGAGAGTATGGCAGTTTTTTTAGCTGAAAATTCAGAAAAAGATTTATTTGATAGTATCATTACCAGTATGAAATAGGAAACCTGGGACAGTGGAAAGTTAATTCATTTTTAAAACTTTGTAGCAATTTAAACACAATAAATACTCAACATCTTTATGTACTGCATACAATAATTAGTAGTTGATTTCCCGTTTGTTACTTAATTTTTGAAATCTGTGACAAAATTAACGCCACCTTTATTTCATCAATTATTAATCAGTGTTGTGCTTGATATCACCGAAACAAGTAATCAATATATAATCAGATCAAGTACATTACCTTGCAAAGATTCTATCTAATGGTTATCTAAGAGTTACAATCAGGAATCTAACAACGATGAAACAATGTTTTATGACAGTCGTAGACTGTCATAATAGAGTAGAAATGAGCAAATACGATTATTTGATCAGATCTGCAAACAGTAAACTTCCTGTAAGTAACCGATTTTAAATGAAAATCTGGGACTTGTAGAGTTTCCGAACAAATTTTCTGAACACCAAAAGTATTTAAACAACCGAAAATTTTGCAGCGAAAAACATCATTTCAAAAAGTTAGCTACCCGGAATGCTGATACACACTTAGTTATGTACTCCTTGTTATCAACGGAGATAAAAACCTGAGAGTAATTGGTTGAAAGAAAAACGCCTTAGAAATTAAGACAACTGTTTAACTACGAGTAGTACGGTACAACAATCCAAGAACGTGATAATGAAGACAAATCATTGAACCTTTAAAAAAATCCATTTAAGACAGTTTGATTAAAGGTGTAAATGATGTAATACATGATTACTAAAATTTAAAAAGGCCATAAGTAACAATTATTATAAAGTACATTGTTATATCAGCTGTGAATCAAAATTATTACCCGACTTGACAACAAGTTCCTACTAAATGATGTAATACACGAGTACCAAAATTTAAAAAGGCCATAAAGTAACAATTATTATAAAGTACATTGTTATATCAGCTGTGAATCATAATTATTACTCAACTTGAGAACAAGTTCCTACTATCTTGAAAATCATTCATATCAACATTTAACTCAATAAAAACGTTGACAATTTGTCCACTTTCAGGCCTTTCTATTAGGCCATTTCATCAGTTCTGGGAGAATGTAACGCGATGCTAGTGTTAAAATAGGCGTACCAGTTGGAATGCCAGGACAAGGACCATTACTTGAAGCAATATCCATATGCGTGTACGCCAAAGGTTTCTCAGTATTTTTCAAATGCTAGGAAGTTATAAAGAAATAAATGTTTTGATTAAAAAGATTATCGTTGTGTCATTTAATGAAGAAAGCATTTATACGACTAGTAATAAGTGTTAATGTAATGCTTAGTTAACTGAACGAATAATAAGTGCCACAATTTTATCACAGTGGTTATCGAATAATATGTACAATGATCCCTGACATCTCAGATATACTTACAAATTAGATAAATAGCGATAAAACTACACAGAAATCCATACTGGGACATTAGGCAAGATTGGCTGAAACTGAAAATTATTTGAGATGATAAGAGTGGTATTAGTGTATACAAAGTGTAAGACGAGATGAAATAATCAAGGCAAATCCCAGAGTAGAAAAAAATCAATAAGAGAAAAACATAAGGATACCTTGAGAATCAAGTTCTAAAGGACGCTAAAAAGTAAATGTATATGAGCCAATGTGAACAATTTCCAACCACGTCAAAGTCTGTGACCACCGATTAATATGACCCAGTTCGATTGGCATTGATCTCATAGACTGGTGATGTTAACCTAGCTGTAGAAGATCGGATCTACAACGCGTCATTGAGAGTAGTTTTCCTCTATGTTTGTGAAACCCGTCCTCTCTGAGTTGAGGATGTTAGATGAATCTCTGTGTTTGATCGTCGTTGTCTCCGACGAATTACTGACATCCCGTGGTAACACCGTGTTAGTAATGCAGAGGCTCAAAATCGTGTGTTCGGGCACAGCGACGATAATTCAATTGGTATTACCACTTTGGGAAATTGGATTCAGTGTTTTTGACATGTTCTACAAATGCCATCCCAGAAAATGCCAACGTTGGGACTGGTTGGAAAATGTTGAGAGGTGGTTAGTGTATGACATAGCATCGTGACATGAAAGAAAGCTGTACAGGGCTGACTTCTGTTGGTTCTACACTAATCACTAGTTGAGGTCCTAGATATGTTGCAACACAGTGACTTGAGACGTTATCAGACATGGCAAAGAAAAGAAGCTAGTACCGATCCTGCTGTAACTTTCGTGATAAAAAGTGAACGTAACTGAAAGAATTCTTTCTGGTTGTAATTTTGCTAACTGAACTGCCTCTCCCATTATTATTATTCCACTCTCACACACTGTTCTGTTCGTTCTACTTTTTATTATACGCACTTTATATTCTCTATATCTTCACAACAGCATAGTTACCGTGTGGCGCACATGTATTTGGAGTCGGACTGTAACAAAGTTAATATGTTTAAATTAATTAATTAATTGATTAACAGAATTTTATTACTAATATTTTAATTATTATCATTTTGGAAAAAACAATTATAAGTTGAGGATTGTACAGATCTGAAAATGAATTCATTTAGAAAAGAACGAGTACTAAGTAAGGATGGCAAACCAATTGATGAAGTAGTGAATCTTCCTCAGTTGAGAATAATGTTTAAGAAAATAGTGCAAAACTTAACAAACTGTTTTTGAACACATTAAAGTGGGCTTCAGTTTCCGTAAGGTCAAGGCTTCAATATAACTTAGCATTTGCCATTGAACACTTTTGTAGAAATCCACGTAAGCCTAGTTAATATCAATCTTATGACTTGTTTCAAATATGTGTTGAGAAAGAGATGACGATAGATGCTAACATTTACTCTTATTTCGTTATTTGATTCCATTTGTGATGGTACATGTTAAGACACCCTAATTTGCAAATCATAATTGCCGCTTCCTACGTATGCGTGATCACAAACACATGTAAAGTGATAAACACAGTGGGATGTGACTCACTCATTTACATGCCGTTTAGGTTCTCAGCGAAGCATGGACCTCGCTTTATGAATAACGATGACCTTTGCCAAACAGTACATTTTACTGGAAAATGATATGTCTCAATGGCAGGGTGATGTAGACCTATCCATTGATTTATGAATTCATGGTTGTGTTATGCCCCGATAAGAATAATGAGTGGTAATTTTTGGGATCCATTTGTGGACCAATACTATACGTATATTTTATCGTATAATTGTTAATTAACTAAACTATTCATATTCATGTCTCTCTTATCATAAGCTTTATTTAAACCTATGAAATGTTATTATACGATTTTCCATTCTTGAATTATTCCCTCTTTATTAATCACTACCTCCCTCATTCACAGCCACTTTAGGATAAATCTTGTACAAATGTTATTTCCTATTTTATGGTACGTTGTGGTCTGTTTGATTGGTATATAAGCAGAGTATGTTTGAAATACATGATTCATATCGCAGAGGCCCGGATTGGTGTTCTGGAGTTAACTGGCTGGGATAGGCAGGAAGCGAGACCAATCAGGGCCCTAGGCTGTCGGTACGGGTTTTACGCGTCATTGATTCAATCGATAATTCACTACTCGCTAATCGGCGGTCACAAGTTATAACAATAGTATAAACATTCTTCCTCAGTGTTTTTCTCCGTAACCTCACATCGTTTCCTTATTACACTATCAAAAGATATCAAAAGGACTAATTGTTTTAAATAATAAATAAAAAAATAAATAAGACGTACGGAGTCCAAACCAGATGCAATAATCATAAATGCGACTGGAGACTGATGCCCTCTGCTACGCTTCCCACCAATAAGACGAGCAGAATTCAATAAATCAGCATATTCTTCATCAGTTTTATGCGCATCATAATCTTCACGTCGAAGTGTTGATATCTAGAGAGTTAATAATTATTTATTACTATTAATAATAATAACATCAGCAAATTAACGTAGTTGAAAAGTAAATTGCAAAAATCTTGCTTTCAAATCAGACATTTAAAATTAGATAATCGAACTACTAACATTATAATGCAGCTCATTTATTAAATACAGGTTCATCGAAGAAAAACTACTCCGATAATTAATGAGCAAGAATGGTTATCCTACCAAATTTATTGACAGAAAGCTGAAGCTGAAACGGCAATTTCAAAGAGTACTTACAGTATCAAAGAAGAGTTCTCCTATAAATATAGAATTTAAAAGAGATGCTGCCGAGGAAATTCTGGAGAGATTAGTTTCAAAATATCTGATAAGACTATCTCAGTCAGTCAGTAACAACGTGGAACTTCGAACGTACGTACATCAGTTCGAGTTGCTACACCACATTAGCACAGAGATTCAGTTATCGATTCAAATCCCATAGTGGTAGAGGTACTAAAAGTATAAGTAGTGATAGGGAACATTAGGGTTTGAACATGTTATTTAAGGAGTATAGTCCAGTGGAATAGATTTGGAAAGAAAATAAAAGACATGGAGAATACAGAAGATTAGAGTTTGAGAGAACACAGAGAGTGGATTAATCTGCCCCATTGCAAACGATTTCGAGCCATGTCATTCACGGTCTCTAACAATCGGTTGCAATCATCTCGCGGTCCCCCAACCAGGTAGTCTACACCTATCAACATGGTTCAGTCCACTTGTCAGTGACTTCATGGATTTGTGCCATGTTTTGGTCTGACCGCCCCTAGCTTTCTTCCAACCTACTTCTACACCATAAAACATCAAGCGTCGGGGCAGTCGGTGGTCAGGCATGCGTAACACATGTCCCAGCCATCTCAACTCTGCAATGTTTCATATTATGTTCTACAACCGGTTTATCATTTATAAATGTGTTAAAAATAAACCTCTGCTTAGGGTCAAGTTGATGTGTATCTTTGTGAATTTACTTGCTCTTATGAGACAGCTTACACTGGGGACATGAAGAGAACGCCATCTAGATACATAATAAAACATTACATGGTGTAAATTTTCAATGGAGAACACAAAACTGTCACTAGCTCAATACAGGAACACCTCATCAACTATGAGCACATCGTTCATAAAATAATAATCTACACAATTTAATGAGTGGGATCATAAGGAGTACACATTAGAAATAGGCTCAATTACGTAACATAGAGCTACTCTATATATATGAGGCTTTCCGATGATATCCAGAAAGTTCTGGACGGGTGTCCCAATCTAATATAGGACTTCTGAAAAGAGAACATTCGCCACCCAGCAAGGGACCTCTGGATCTCGCAACGACGGTAGTCCAGTTTTCCCTGACTTTTAGCGGTTATCCATGGTTAGTCCATGATGTATAGTACAATATTATGGAGCATTGATTCAACAATAGCCAAAACTTAATAATACGTCACCACACATACAAATTCTGAATCATTCACTACAAATCATTTTCGTTATAAGTTATATTTCTTTACTTCGTTAAGCGATTTGTACGTATGATCAGAATAGCATAAGAGAATTAGAGAAAAAACAAAACAACATAATCTAACTACTACTTAGTTCAACGCACTTCATGCATTTCACCTAACAATGATCCAGCAAACTGATAGTCATAATCTTCTCCAAATTCTTTAGCCGGACCATTACAAACGATACCCTATAAAGAAAACAAAAAGCATAAGAATATACAAAAACAAGGAATAAGTGAAAGTAGAACCAGATGACTACAACACAAGTAATTCATTGACAAGATAGAGAGATTGAAGTATCAGAAATCATTGTAAAGAATTATTTACGCGACAACATAAATTTAATTAGATTTTTTAGTTTCCTCTAGTGCTACTAGCATTATGTATTATAAGAAACCGGAAATTGAGATGTATAAAACCCCATACAAAAAATAAGACTTATTAAGGTACATAAAATAAGAAAGTATTTATATGCGTGACTTAGTGAATAGACGTAATAAAAAAATTCATGGCAGATGTATCCGGTAAATAATATGTCCGTTACTATAAACAATGATTAATATGAATACACATTAAAAATGGGACGAAACGAATTATTTAGGTAATTTAAACAGAATTGTTGTAAAACGTGGAAAAGCCATAGCTGATGAATCTTACAGGAACTATATACATCTGTAGGAATAACTAGAATAAAAGATTGTGCAATATGACAAGATTTGAAAGTGAAGTAGAAAATGGAATAAACTAGTCTGCAGTGAAGAGAGTTGGGTTGCTGAGCTAAAGATTATGATAATTAGTAGACAGTTTTTTAGAGCAAACAGTTCAAGATTCGTCAATGGTAGAACGGCGGCAAAAATGCACTGATTTACATAAATTACTATCGATGAAAAAGAAAATGCCAAGAAACTCTCGAAAGTAACTTTGATGCTTTGGCGAATGCCACAATACAATTTTGGCAACAATCATGTGCTGACTAGTGACTAGTTTTAAGAAAAAAATCCCAGTGAGTTATGACGGATGAAGTTCAACCATGTTGGGTGAGATAGGATGGTTATGAAATATTGCGAGTTGGTTGAAGCTAAACTTGTACATCACTGGGTCTAAGCTTAACGGTCTAGAGATTAATCGTTCGCGCGAGAAAGAAGGCTTTGGACACGGTGCATGCGTACATAGTCGTGGATGCACACTGTTGAAGTGTTCCATTCTAGGGAGAAACGGCCTTCTAGTGCCACCAGGTTGTTAATGGTGGTATAAGTTGGATCGATTTTTTATTTCAATGAAATAACCATTTAATCATATGTTTGTAGTTAATTAGTAAACAGGATGAAATTGAGTAATAACAGAGGGAAAAATCAATTACTGTAACTGATATAATTGGTACACAAACATTGATTATGAATCAGTCAACAACTCTCCTCTAGACATGTGGAAAGCTGCAAATATAAGTCAAGCTTGGAAATTATACAATTACTTCGAAATGAAAATTCAGTTTATTTCGAGATAATAATGCAGTTAATTTCGCTATGTTTATAAACCTTCAGAAACAACTTATTATCATGAACTTAAACAGGATCGATGTGTACAGACGATTAAAACTATTCATCTGTATATTGACACTTATAAACAAATGACTGTACTATAGATGTCACACAACGATTATTTAGTAACACTAGACAAGGTGAAATTAAACAAATTATCTACAAATAAACTATTATATTCCACATTTTATTTGCATACATGTTATTGGTGTGTTATAAAATTGGTTCAGGTTGATTTTCGTAAGTTTAATAATACTTTATTTGATCATCCATTTGTAATCCTAATTATTTTAGTCAGACTTTTGAAAGAACACTAAATCTGGGTCATTTATACGGTATGTTCTGTGTATAATTTAGTCTGTCATTTGTAATAAAATTATAAACTCACTTATAATACATAGTAATATTCAATGGAAAGGATTTCACAAAGCGATTCAATAAATAAACCCAAACATTACCGTATATCCTAGTCCATAGCATAACCCAACATGACCAGTTAAAGTAGCGATTGTCAGTAGTCGTGGATTTGATACTTTCAATGCCTACAAAATAGATGCAAATGCATATTTCTAACAACTGGTGTGATATTAAAAAGAAAACTCTTGAGACCATTACTGTAGTTATCATTATTTTAGATTGTTGCCATTGTATTCCCAAGTAGCATCTTGATGTAAAGCCGCAAAGAGCATTGCTTCGTTTCGGTGACCTACCCGAATTAATTGTTTTATTATTGCTCAATCAAGGTCATGTGAATATTAATGAAATAAAAACATCAGTTCTTAGGCTTGCCTTAACTTCAGTTATGAGTTTGTTCTACACATTTGTATGTAGTTATGGTGTCGTTCGATTGCCTTTGTTATATTAGCGGTTCAATTTATCTAATCAAGTTACATTTATTGTACTCCACCCGACTGGGGCAATCGATAACACTTAGCAGCGTGTGTTCCCGGGCTTATAAGGACTAATAACCTCCCTGGGATTTGAATCCGCATTACAAGAACTCCTTCCAAACGCCTTCACATACACATGACAAAAAAGTCCAAGCAGTTGAGTAACCTACGCAAATAACCATGTTGTAACTTGATCGGCTGAATGAATTACATAAACATGGGAGTCGTTGCTACTCAGTGATCAACCGTTTTAAATATATCAGTCGTATGGAATACTAATAGCTGCTCGGACAGAACAATTATAATCTCACACTGTAAGATTAAAGAGGCGGGATAGAATCACAATGTTAGGACTAGTGTGTTTTGAGTGATAAGCTTTTCTGGCAAGAAACAACTAGCACAAAGCCTATACTTAGACTTTTTTATCCAATGGACCGGAACTATTCGACTTCATTTACAGTATTATCCACTCACATTCCAAGTGTAATTATATTATTGCTCACTTAGTGTCCTTTAAATGCACTACAACTACAGTTGCGTACATAAACTATTCCAAGTGAAGATCATAATAAAATAATCGAAAGTGTCATTGTGGGACAAAATGGACGATTGTTCAGTCAACCAGATAGAAATAAAATCTTGTGAAAATTTAGTTCTACACGCTTTATTTTGAGACAAAAAAAGACACGAGTAGATAGATAAGAGAAATATACATTTATCCACTTACCTTCTCCTTAGCTTCACATAATAAATCAGTCATAACCATTCGACCTTCAGCATCAGTATTGTTCACGCGAACCCGTACTCCAGCACGTGAAGTTACTATTTCATCACTTACATAAGCATTTTCCCCAATGCTGTTACGAACTAAACCTAAAGTACCATGTACCTAAGAAAAACAGAAGAGAAACAATTGTTTGGTGAATATTAACTTCTGGTAAACAAAATAAGTTACAAATCATTGACCACATCCTTATAACTGATACTGAGAAAAAGCAACTTGGAATCCTGAAGGAAAGCGGAAAAGAGGAAGGTCAAAGAACACATTACGTCGGGAAATAGAAGCGCATATGAAAAGGATGAATAACAACTGGAAAGAGCTGGAAAGGATTGCCCAGGACAGGATTGGATGGAGAATGCTGGTGAACGGCCTATGCTCGTTCACAAGGAGTAACAGGCGTAAGTAAGTAAGTAAACATACTGAATGTTATTAGATAGATATAAAATTTAATCTGACTGAACAGACAATTAATCAGGCAAATAAAACGTAACATGATGATGCATAAAGTGAATAACTGGGTCGAATCATTTAGGACAAATATTGATCAGAATAAGTTTATTATTATAAGGAATATGTCAAGGAAAGCCACTAAATGCTTTATACCATAATATCAGCCAGGTACTATTTGTTTTATTTCGCCTACAATCCAACGCTAAAAAACTCCGCCGAAAGCCCTTCTACGATTACTGGAGGTCACAAGCCTGAATAAAGGAGGGTCGAGGATGGGCTCAACAACCACATCTCGTAGAAAACAGTCAGCGTTTGTAAACGATTGTCTACGTAAGGTACTGAATGTCCTACTGTGTGAGAAAAAAATCAGTTTCCAAATGAAGAGGAAATTAGGAAAAGTTGTTGGAAGTGGATAGGACACATTTCGGAAAACTTCAAACTGGGTCATGGGGCAAGCGTTAACTCGGAATGCTAAAGAGAAACGGAATAAAGGAAGACCAAAGAACACACTGCGCCGAGAATTATAAGCAGATATCAATAGAATGAACAACAACTAGAAAGAAATGTCCAGGACAGAGTTGGATGGAGAATTTCGGTGAGCGGCCTATGCTCCTCCATGATGGATAACAGGTGTAAATAAGTATGTAATGAATTACTGTTCTATACTCTTTAGTAAGAAAGCGTGAAAACTTCAAACGTTTGCCTCAGTAAATCTAAAAACAACTTAAGGTTCAATTAATGAACACCATAATATAATGTAGACACGGTTGTAACTAACTGTTTAAAAAGCCCTATTAAATCAACTGGATAAAAATCAAATTCACAATTATAACCTTTAAGTTTTTCGGTTTCAATAAGTTTAAAACTTTGAAAAATCCGGCCACAGCAGCTGCACCACATTTATCCCGATGCATCGTAGCCATAATACCTCCAACTTTAAGATCTGAGCCACCTGTATCATAGGTAACACCTTTACCAACTAAAAACAAATTGACTAATTGCTGAGGATCAATTTGTGATTCTGTAGATCCATTGTATTCTAAGTGTACAACGTGACCACGATGTCTTTCATTATCTATGAATAATTAAAAAACACAAAACATTATAATTATATTTCAATAGATAAATAGGACAATTAAAAAGACATGGCACACTGGTCTATCAGTACGCTTAGTGCTGATTGACTATTGTTCAATCTGCGTAGCTTAGCATTTATACTTGAAAACTAAGAAAGAGGATATTTTCAAATACGATACAAAATATAATAATGATTATAAGAGTTTAAGGTCATGGTAAAGCTAAGAATAAGACGCAGTTCTTTTGTACGCGCAGTTCTGGCTTTATCTCATTAATGGCAGCAACTTCTGTTGTTTTGGGGAGTCGAATACAAAGAAATCTACTTAAATTTTGATAAATTCTATAAGCAGCCTTAAAATCAACCTATGGATAAGTGAAGTGATTGGAATCGATTAAATGTTCAAAAACAGAACTCCTAAGCTTATTGCTCTCACCCTCGGAGAATCGTCATGTTTACGACCAACGTACCTTACACAAAAAGAGCAAATAAACTGACAAACGGACATAGAGGGTTGTCCGTTACAGATACACGTGACAAGCCTCTACTAGTGAACGTTAGCTGCAACTTGTCAGCACAGAATATTTTATAGCTGTCGTTGACTGATTTTAAATGCAATAAAAGTTTGGTCACCTTTGAATCCTAGGTTCACATAAAGATATCTCCTACAAAAAGAATTTTCGAACAATATGCTCCGAATCCCATTCACGTTTTTTGGCTACATATTAGCTTGAAAAGCCGTTCTTCTAAGAAACAAGATTTTGCGCAATAGAGTCGATAGCCATGGTGACACTTGAGGAGGAAGTTTAGAGTTGAAAGTCGAGGTAGGAGGAATAATATGAATTGAAGAGGAAGATCGATTATGAATACAGTGATCTTGAGTGCTGTTAAAAATATGAGGGCGGTTATCACTTCCTGGTCGCCCACACCGTGGAAAGGTTCTTCTGGAGGTACCTGAAAAGGAAATCGAGTTAGGAGTGGTCTTAATAATAACCTGAGAAGGTGACCGCAGTGTCCAAGGGACAACTACTTGAGGTCGGTCACACACGACATTTTTATGAGTAATTTTCGTGTGAGCTCCGTACTTGTTGAGACCTTACCACAGGAGACGGATATCCGTGAAATAGGGCGGTGTGTATTTTTGGGGTCGATTTTTTCTAACTTCATCCCTCCTTGTGGGAAGGCAGCATCGCTGTCATGCTGATTGTCTGAAGGAAACACCTTACTGCCGTCACACCTCTGTACATTCAGTAGTACGACTTCGTCCTCGAATCTTGGGTTTACTGCTTTTAATCTTACCGCTCTTCGGCCGACCTGTCTGGAATGGTAGGATCTTGAGGAACGATTGTGCCAGCCAGTATAGATTGATTGGTTCATTATAACCGACAAACCCAACCTCTACGCCAAGGTAGCGGCAACGGTTGGGACCTCGCTGTCAGAAGCTTATTGAGCAATGAAATGGTACGGCCTACTACATTTCCCAACTTGGAATCACGGGAAGGATGGCATGTACTGAGAGAATGAAAATTTTTAATTAATTGAACATTCGCGTCGCAAAAGGCAGAAGTGTCGTCCATATAACAGTTCAGCAGGAAGTAGTATTCATTCATAGTTGAGTAAACAAACTTCACTTTTGTCTCACAACTAATATCGAATTTCTATTTTCCTTGACAATCATAAATTCACATGCTATATTGTCGAATTTCCGCTTGATTGGGTTCGTTCAAATGTTGGTAAACTAGTGTACCCAATTAATACAGATTACGTGGCTTTGTAAGAATAGATGTTTGAAGTAGGATACAAATCATGGTAATTAACAAGAGAAAAAGTCGAAGAGCCTTTTCCCAGGTACTGGGATATGCTTACGTCAGATCTGTTTCCAGAATATGATCAATGGCAAAGTTGAAGAGTGGTGAAATTGGGCAACTGTGCCAAACCTCGTCGCATGAATAAAGCAATGGAGAGGTGGTTGTATACCTTCACTCTGTATGACGTGTTTGTGTACAAACTTCAAAATATCAGTAAACCTCTCGGGGAACGCTGCTACAAAAGACAATCCCAAACCGCGATCTTATCCAACGAATCAAACGAAACTTATCCAATTCATGTCAAGAAACATAGATTTTTAGCCTTCACGAAGTGCGGAAAAGCAAAAACATTCACCGGACGGTGATACGATTAACAACTTGATCTAAAATCAGTAAATCCCATTAGTTTTGTACAATTTGCGAAGCACGACGAACGTTAACAGTTTGGATACGATCGAAAGTAGACGTATCCCGCAGCAATCATTGTATTAACAAGACAGGCCAATTTTAAACATAGAGATGATGACTGTTTCATTCCATAATGTTAGGGCACTGTTTTCCTAACATTTTCAAACAAACACGTTAGTTTTCTGACCAGGTGTTCGCTATCATCCTTAGAATAAGTCAGAGTTACATCGTTAAGGCCCGGTGAGTTTCGGAGCTTCAGAAGTTCCTCGTGAACTTTCACTTCGTAAGGTGGACCGGTTGCCACCGGCCACTACAGACAAGACAGTCTGCAAGAATAATACTCAGTTTATCAATCTTGCGTTAAAGCTTATCCATGCCATCTAAGTTTAACAATGTGTAATATACCTAGGAGATTTTAAGTGAATTTTGGATGTGACACAGATAGACCAAGCGAACGGATCTACAAAGCTCCGTTTAATTTAATTAATAATATCATAACTCCTCAAACGTATAGAATGTGAAGCACGCTACGTTCGATAGTCCTAATGACACATAAATGGTATCATTTGCACAAGGAAAACTAGTAGGTATTTTTGATATATGTAAACATGCAGTACATGAGTTGAGCTGTTTTTTTCATTATTTGCTGTCAAGCTAAAGAAAATAACTTACTTCCACGATCTACTATAGCTGCCAGAGGGTAAAGCCCTCGATCAACAGGACAATCAGTCACCTGAACGGGTTCCGTTAATTCTTTCTGAAGGTACGTCACTATATTCTTTGCACTCATACGTTCTGGGTCAGATCCACCTATATCACGTGCTACTCGTAAACCCTCTTCCAAACACCAGGCTAATCCAGTCTATATAGTTTAGATAAGGAAAAACCAAGTCAAAATCATGGTTTATCAATAAATAATTACGAATATATGCATATACATTAGTTTCGGAAAGTAGAAATGACTATGGATGAAGATAACCACATAGTATAGACAGTGATGAAATAACAACAATTATTAACTGGTTAACTCAAACATTAGTGTACAATCTAACAAATTCGATGACTAACTGGACCACTAAGTAGACTGTTATACATGTCTGGACCGAGTGATTTTACTGATAGCCGGAATCTCTAGATAAATCGAAGTGCCCATTACAGAGCTTCAGTATATAGCATTAACAATCACAGCCTTATTAGGGACGAAATATAACTAGTGAGTAGAAGAAAACAAGTGATCCATATGAACTAGTTTTGTAAACTGACAGATTAAGAAGTCTAATTAAGCTAACGAAGTAAATCACAACTCAATAGAAATAATTTAACAATTCTTTCAGCGTAATGTATGAGATACAAACCCGATTGATGGATTTGTGGAGATAATAGACAGACATATGTCCAAGAGCCACTTATATACTTTTCAGTTATCTTCGTTTTCTACATTATTTGTGTGTAACACAACTTTTAGATATACTAGTTAATTGTTGCTAATCGTACACGACCAGCATCATAAGCGCTGTATTATTGTTGTTTCCATACATGGTTTACATAGTGATACAAAAATATGGTCATGATGTGTTAAACATGAGAGAAAATAAGTTGGGTTCGAAGTGCAACTCTTAATCACTAAGACTACACTGAGTGAAGTAATGGGACAGCCGATATCCTGTTGCTGTCCAAGTTACAGAATGAATTATGACTGAACCAGGTGAAAACTAAATCATAAAAAGATATGACAAACATTAAACCTAAACAAAGATCACTGCTTACGACAATATTTTATAACTAACCAATTTGTTCCAAATATTAAAGCATTAGCAACAAAAAAAATAAAATCTTACAAGTTTTTCGTGGTCTACTGCGTAGTGTGCCCCAGAAAACCAACCCAGGACTTCAGCTTTTTGTGACTGAATAGGTTTTGTGCAGGTAGAGCCTTCCTGACGGTCAAACTCACGAACTTCGAGGGGCTGATTAAATAGAGGAAATTTAAAATTAGTGCATCTGTTTTATTGGTGCTGCATACCTTTTTAAAGTTTAATGTTGTAATATAAAAAATGGGAGTTAAAAATCTGCTTAAAGTCCCCCTCCCCCAGATAGTTCACCACTTGAAATCATCATCAGGAAGAAAACGATAACAGGAGAAATAAAGTGACCATACGCAACAAATCGCTTAAGAGAGTGATAGACGGATAAAGACAAGACGGAAATACAAAAGTATTGGATAATATATACAGTTAGAATGAACGTTTTTATATAGTTTCTATTGGTTTTGGGCTTTATTACTAGCTAAACAGACACTAATTAACAACCCTTTCACCAGTCAGATTTCAAAGATGAAGGTAACATCCTCGCTTAATTTAAACCCTGAATGAACGATAAACGGAAGATACGTTAAGTGATATGAACTATTATCGCTAGCAATGCCACAGGGGTATTCACCTTCCGTAGAACATAATTTTCTAAATTTCTTGTAATTAGTGAAAGGCAACTTTACTTTCAATGACCTATATACTCTACCAAATATGGTACTCATAGAAAACTTTCAATCAGTGAAACCACACAATCGATTAAATATACAAAAAACTTGAAGAAATAGGTCCCATACATATGATATAAAATGTTTCTCAACCAACAACAAACGATGCACGACTTAACATAAATGTACCCTAACCCAGATCGCCACAACACACTTCACAAAATATTACAAAACTGTACGAGACCGACAGTTTAACATTGGTTATGCATGTCCTAGCAAGGCGTTCAGATAAATGTAGGAAACGTGATTAAAGCTTATCACCATGAGTTTAATTATAATAAAAGTGGAAACTCGAGACAACTGGATGGTACAGTTAGTCAGTCAATAAATTTTTGTTCGCGATGTATACTACTGATATTAAGTCTTAAGTTTGTGAAGTTGAGTGTCGAGCGTACCAGGGATTGAAAAGCGAGTTTTCCTTTATTTTTTATTATTTGAACACATAGTTATTGGTACAAGGAGGCACCAAATATATATGCGCCACACAAATCTCATTTGATTTGTACGAGGGCTGTGATACTCCCCGGGTGCCCAAACCGAAGCAGGTGGTTTATTTAGGGAGCCACATTTAGAGCCTTCGACCTGAATGTCTGATCCATATGGCAGTGGAGCATCGTAAACAGATACAGTCCCATGGTAGCTGGTGACCAACGATTGGTTCAGACGCCATTTGTTCCCTCAGGATACTGGAGCCCATGTGCACAAGTGGTTTGGAGTCAGGGTTTTCCAACTCCCCTAGGTGGACTCTCCATGTCCACCAAACCGGTTAAAGCGCCGGACATTCGCTTTTTGTCTTCTCAATTTCGTGAACAACACTCCCGCCACGAGAAGGTAGTGAGTAGGACTTCCCTGGCAAAGGCTACATACGCGTAACCATGTAAGAACATTTCAAGAGGAAGAGCGGATTCTCCCCGATCTCGGCCGTACCAGGGCCTCTAACTCCTCTAATTCCATGACCGTTGATGCTATCTTGACGTAGAGGTCGGGTTTGTCGGTTATAATGAACCAATCAATCTATACTGGCTGGCACAATCGTTCCTCAAGATCCTACCATTCCAGACAGGTCGGCCGAAGGGCGGTAAGATTGAAAGCAGTAAACCCAAGATTCGAGGACGAAGTCGTACTACTGAATGTACAGAGGTGTGACGGCAGTAAGGTGTTTCCTTCAGACAATCAGCATGACAGCGATGCTGCCTTCCCACAAGGAGGGATGAAGTTAGAAAAAATCGACCCCAAAAATACACACCGCCCTATTTCACGGATATCCGTCTCCTGTGGTAAGGTCTCAACAAGTACGGAGCTCATACGAAAATTACTCATAAAAATGTCGTGTGTGACCGACCTCAAGTAGTTGTCCCTTGGACACTGCGGTCACCTTCTCAGGTTATTATTAAGACCACTCCTAACTCGATTTCCTTTTCAGGTACCTCCAGAAGAACCTTTCCACGGTGTGGGCGACCAGGAAGTGATAACCGCCCTCATATTTTTAACAGCACTCAAGATCACTGTATTCATAATCGATCTCCCTCTTCAATTCATATTATTCCTCCTACCTCGACTTTCAACTCTAAACTTCCTCCTCAAGTGTCACCATGGCTATCGACTCTAGTGTGCGAAACACTGTCTCAGGTCTATTGCAACCGTGCTCCAAACTACACATTGGGGCCTTCAACGTACGCACCCTATGTCAAATCGGTCAACAGGTCTCCTTGGATAAAACCCCAAATTCTCGTACCATTGATGTATGCTGTGTCTCTGAAACACGCATACAGGATCCTAGCGAGGTCATTCACTTGACCACACCTCGCCAAAACGAAGAGCCGAAGAGATACACCCTCCGACCCGGTAGTTAATTGTCATGGACTGGTGGGTGCATGCATAGCACTAAGAGGGCAGAACAAACATGGATTCCCGTTAACAGTCGCCTATATGTTGTTCGGCTAAACGGCTGTGTAAGAACTCGGAATGATAGGGATATCCGTTGTTGCCTTTTCGTCGTTACTGCCAACGCTCCCACTGAGTGCAACCCGGATGAAGTGAAAGATGAACTTTACAGAGAACTTTCTGAACTTCATAAAGCCAAGCACTCAGATATAGTACTTGTAGCAGGTGACTTTAATGCCTAAGTAAGTCGCTTAGACCGAACCGAAAAACATTTATGTAGGTATTTTGGCTTTCCGGTTCAGCGAACAGATAATGGTGACCATCTGCTGCAACTGTGCTTAGACAATCATTTATTTTTAACAAGCACTGATTTTAAACATCGGGATAGATATCATCTGACATGGCGACCTCCTGAACCAAACCAACAATGGACTCAAATAAACCATATTGCCACCAGTCATCGTTGGAGAGGCTCGATAGAAGACTGCCGCTCGTTTTGAAATACCTGTTTAGTCGGTCATTCAGTTAGTAACAACGTAGAACTTCGTACATACATACATCAGTTCGAGTTGCTACACCACATTAGCACAGAGATGCAGTTATCGATTCAAATCCCGTAGTGGTTGAGGTAATGAAAGTATAAGTAGTGATAGGGAACATTAGGGTTTGATGATGTTATTCAAGGAGTATAACCCAGTGAAATAAATTTGGAAAGAGACAAAATAAAGGGACATGAAGAATTGAAAAGATTAGAATTTGGGAGAACACAAAGAGCGGATGCATCTGCGCCATTGCAAACGATTTCGAGCCATGTCATTCACGGTCTCTAACAATCGGTTGCTATTATTTCGCGGTTCCCAACCAGGTAGTCTACACCTACCAACATGGCTCAGTCCATTTGTCAGTGACTGCATGCATTTGTGCCATGTTTTGGTCTAGCCGCCCCTAGCTTCCTTCCAACCTACTCCTACACCATAAAACATCGCACATCGGGGTAGTCGGTGGTTGGCTATACGTTTCACATGTCGCAGCCATCTCAACTGAGGAAGATTCACTACTTCATCAATTGGTTTGCCATCCTAGCCTATTACCCGTTTCCTAACAACTGTATTGCTTACTCGATGGTCCCAGGATATACGAGCAATGTTTCGAATACACCTATGATCAAATACTAGTAACCCACGAATATCCTCTATTCTTACCGGCCATGTTTCACTGCCATAAAGTAGGACGGAACGAACTGCTGCGCAGTAAACACGTCCTTTGGTTGATAGACGGATATCTCGCCTACGCCACAAATGACTCAAGTTGGAAAAAGCTAGTAGAGCCTTCTGTATCCGTGCTGAGATTTCGTCACACACCAGACCACAAGGGATGGTGAGACTCCCAAGATAAGTGAAGCGGTCGACACGCTCAACTACTTCACTCCCTATCGCTAGTTCGGGTGTCCATGCAATACAAACCTGAAGCAACATTTTGCATTTCGAGGGAGAAAATCGCATGCCGAACATACCTGCATTGTTGCTTAGAGTGGTCAGCAGACTCTGCATTTTGTCAGCGTCTTCACCAAATAGAACTATGTCATCGGCATACTCTAAGTCGACAAGTGAATCTTTCGGTAGAAGTTCAATCCCTGGAAAGTCAGATGTGGAAAAAGTTATCTCTTATAGCACGTCAATGCCAAAGTTAAACAAGAATGGGGAGAGTGGACAGCCCTGATGAACACCACTTGAGGTAATCAGTTCTGATGACAGTTCGCCATAAGCTCTCACTCGACCAGTTGTGTTCGAGTAGAGAGCCTTTATAAGGTTAATGTACTTCTTTGGTACTCCTTTCAGTGACAAACACTGCCATAGAACCTCACTGCTTTTACCTATTGCTGCTGCCTTTTCCATCTCTCGTGCTTTCGCTACCCACCACTGTTCACGATCTTTGCGTAGGCTTCTGGTCAGCTTACGCTTAAGCTGACTCCGCTTTTCGTTATGTTCAGGGCCAGATGGAATGAGTTTTCGAGCATCTATCAGTGCGGTAGATGCTGCTGAGATCCAGTGTTTCTCCTTAACCTTATGGTTTACCGTACTTGCACACATCACTGCTGTTTCCACAGATTTTTGGATGTTATTCCACGCTGCATCGGGGTGGGCATCACTTACATGGCTGCCTAACTGTTCTTCTAGTTTTTTCCTCAGATATACTCTTAGCTTGACTATCATTTAGTAGGACCCTAAGGGGTTTCCTTGCAGCATGTTTCCTACGTCCAGTAAGACGTAGACAAATACGCGCTCGCATCAGAGCATGATCTGAGTCTAAGCATATGCTCCAGAATGAGCGACAGTCTTCTATTGAGCCCTTCCATCGGTGGCTGATAGCGATGTGATCCATTTGGGTCCAACGTTGGAACGAATTAGGGGGTCGCCATGTCAAAAGATGTTTTTCCTTATTCTTAAAACTAATATTTGCTAGAAACAGGCGGTTATCTGGGCATAGTTGCAACGGACTGTCACCATTATCTGTTCTTTGAGCCGCGACACCATAAGATCAACCCAT